AAAAACTGAACTTTTTTTTGGACTCACTATTTCTATACTCATTACTGACTTAATTCTAGCATTATTTTAATACTTTATCATTCCAGCTAGAAATTTAAAAATCCCATATTTACTGTTACCCACGCATGATTATTCGACTAGTTAAATTATAGCTGTTATAATAAATTTTAATATTATACTTGATTTATGATTAAGTAACTTAGTTGGTACTTAAAATTTTACATAATTTATGTATTTAAGTATATTTTTTAGTTGTTATTATTATTTGACATTCGTGAACAAAATATTCTCAACTTTTTCAGCATTAGAAAAATACCCATCTATAAATTATTAATATTGTCATAGAATGTAAAAAAATGATAAAAATCAAAATAACGTTTCACATGCTCATAATTTTCTATTTTAATAATACTAGGTATATTACATTTAATTGCTACAATAATAATAACAAATGTATTATATAAAAATATATTATAATTTATAATGTACAAATGATATTATAACTAGAAAATAAATGCTTTTAATTTTAATATGTAAAATTTAATTTAAATTTTCAAAAAGTAGAAAAGTACCTACTAAAAAAAAGGCCTCAAATAACCATAAGAGTTCATGATTTAGAAAAAAACAAAATATTCTCAACATGTTTAATCCATTATTCAACTCAAAATTTTGACTAAAATAAAAAGAAAAATGTCTGTTCATAGCAATGATTAAGTCACCATCAAAATTAAATATGACATTATGACACTGCCTGTTAGAGAGTTATATGATCAAATTTAATATGAGATTTCTTGGTCAATTGAACGAAATAATATAATATAAACTATTCATTTACTTACTGCAGTTGACAGTTAATGTGTTGATCGTTAGATTTCACGAGATTAAATTTCCATTTTCCATTTTCCTTTTCATTCATTACAACGCACTCGTAGTTATGTGCTTGAATCGATTTGTTTTTTTTTTTATCGGTTGATTTTGCTTTTAGAAATGGAATATTTCTGTAAACACTATAAAATCTCATTAAAATAAGCTATTAATTCTTATAGTTATTCATTATATCAACCATTTAATATAACCGATATTTACCTATATAAACCTATGCATTTGTAATAACAATTTACTAAAATAACATTTATTTCATTGATAAACACTAAATTAACATGTAAATATTATATATTTATATTTTATTAAAAGATATTTACGAGCAGTCAGTTATTAAAACTATTTAACTCCGTTACCATTCAATATTTCGTGGCGTATAATATTCACATACCTATGCGTATTGCGTCGTATGATAAACCAACCCAGTAAAGAAAATCCGACGTTTAAATTACGAGTATTTACTATTTTTAAATGTATCAGAGCTTAAAATATGAAGTTATTAGTCTGTTTTTTTTTTTGTTTTAAAATAATTTTTCTTACTTCACTTTCTTTTTTTTTTAAACCAATAACTTTTTGGGAATCAAAATTTTTCTGTTCGGAAATTTTTAAATTTTCGGAAACGAATTTCCATTGTATTATAAATGTGATATTAAAAAAATGTAGGTTACAAATAATAGCCCAATTGGATCATCTATTGTTATTACTTATTAATGTTATAGGCAGATAACAAAATTACAAATAGATTTTTTTCAAAATTTATTTAGGAATTGACTTTGAGCTCGTCAAAAATCAAAATTGATAAATTTACGACAATATACCTTTGTTGCTGTTTAAGTTGAACTTCATCTTTATTTTCCTGTTTAATTGTAAGTTTTTTTGACATTACCGAAGAATGACTAAAAAACATTTTGCTTTTTTTATAGATCACTTAATCAAAATTATAAATTATTTAAAAACAATGGCTTTAGAAATATGTTTACACTCAAACTGTTTCGAATTAGTTTGTTTGAATTGTCTCAAAAAATTCATAGTATAACATTCGAGTTACATTTTTTAATTTATAATTTAGTAGGTTTCACACGTCATAACGATACAAATAATGAAACAACAATAACTGATATTTAATTTCCATAGGAACTACACATTGTTAACAGTGTTAGCACAATATTAATAGACTAGTAAACGTAAACTAAATTGTTTTAACATTTACGATGATAGTAAAAAAAACATAATACATGTTCAGATATAGATAAAATTATTACCGTAGATAGCTAAACTATGAAATATGTATATAATATAAATATAGTAGTCACTAGTCAGGAAACAGCTTATTATTATAACGTAATTAATAATTATAGTATACTGTAGTGTTAATAACGAGTTTGTACAATTTTCACAACCAATAAAGACCTACCAAGAGACGACTTTTAGCGGTGGTACTGTGTAGCAATATACTTTAGCATTTCTATTTTTAATGTTTTCCACGTCTTATTAGCCTGTCATCAAATATGTACAGTGCGCCGACGGCTAATGCATAAAACTTAAATTATATTATGAAAACTATAATAAGTACAATAAATTATAATATTATAATATTTTTGGAAGTAATGTATGACAAAACCTATTTCCAACTTTTTGGTAAGAACACTAAAAACGACAAACTTTTAATCAGTAAATGTGGATTGTATTCGGTAATCAAAATAATATTCATCGCTTGAACAAGAAATTCCAAAGAGATTTTTTTGGCAGATAAACTACTTTGTTAGTGATTACAAAATTATCAACCCTCTTTTAAATGTTGATATGTTTTTATTAATAATTACACCTTTAAACCATTTATCGGATTTACCGTTTACTTCACATGATCCTCTGCACAACATGAATCATAATTCATATTTAAATAACCATCTCCTTATATAGGTATACATATTACGTAAACGATGCGCACCAACTTGGTTGTTCCTTCATAGATTTTATTAAAAATAGTTATAAAGTTATCAGTAGCGGATAATGTATATACACACTATTAATGTCCATTTTTTCTTTTTTTCATGAGGAAAAGAGTTTTTATTTAAAAAATGGATATATTAAAATGATACAAGGAATTTATAAACATTTTAATATTAGTTTTATATTATTTTCACGTTTTCATATGGTGAAAAAAAACTGAAAATGAGGGTGGAAGAAATCTCACACATGTTAGTAGAGCACTGAGTTATATACTTATATAGTTATAAATATATCGAATCAAATGGCTTAAATTATTTTATAGTTACCAACTGTTGATTTCAATTATTTAAATTATCTGAGTACCTACTTACGTGACATACGTCACATAGTCACTTATGAATCATGATATATTATACATCTTATCCTTAGTTAAATCCCTTTCTATCTTTTTGTATTAATCCTTAGCATCATACATCACGTCACACTGCTTCTATGTTCTAAATACCATCAACCCTTTTTCTAACTTTGCCATTACTGCAATTTTTATTTATGTGTACTTATTATGACTTATGTGGATAATCTATTTTATTAAATTATTATTTAACCAAATTTAATACTTACTTATAATGACAATCATATCTCACACTCACCCTACACTATTCTTCGCAGTTATTACTATCATTATAATCATCATATTTAAATATTTTATTGACATAGGTATATGATATAATATTAAGGCTTAGCCTATATATATCACTATATCAAAAGAAGCAAATACAAAATGTAAGTTTCTTACCTCTCTTACTTCACTAGAGAATTGATAGTTGATGGATTCATATCCGTATGACCATATCCCAAAATATTTATTAATTATTTTATATTAAATTTTTAACCTAAATCAATGTAAATATATTGATGATGTTGAATGTGTAATACGGTGTTATATATAGGTAATCATATTTAATCGGTATTGAATAACTTAAGTCTTAAGATATAGGTAATATAAAGCAAAGACTATTTATATATTTTAATTATTTTTCTGATCTAATCGTAAGTTAATCAAAGTACAAAATCCGATTTTTAAATTTTTGACTATGTAGTAGTATTAATTAAAATTTGTAGTGCATATATATTTTAATAATGACAATATTTGCAAACTTTGATGTTTTGGATACATTTTGATAGTTAATCGTGGGTTAAATATTAGAAATCATGGACCTACAGTTGTTAAATATTTTTCATGCACCAAGAGGCAAATGAATTAATGTATAAAATTAATTGAAAAATTGTAAATTTGTCATTAAGTTTATGGAGACCAAATCTTTTTATTAAATAGCCAATATTTATAATATTTATTAATTATTTAGGTCTTAGATCACAACAAACTGTATATAGTACAAGTAGTGTTACATAAATATTATCTAATAATTCTGAATTTTCACGGGTATTTTTATTAGTCTGCAACTGTTATTACTTGTTGAATAATGCAGACAATAATTTATATTTTTATTAGGAAATTATACAAAATATTATGCAAAGTGAAAATAAGGTATAAAATAAAAAATAGGTATAATAGGTAAGTTTGAATAAATAAATAATCAAAGGGAGATTTAAGAATTGTTAATACGAGAACAGTTAACGTTTTCGCGTAGGCAAGTGACAAAGTTTGAAAAATTGCCTATGCGGTTAATCTATGAACCTAGCAGACGGATTAAGGTATCAACAGCGAGGACCGAGTTTTGATTTAATCAACCTAAACTCTGATTGAGTAGGTACTCGAGTCTTGAGTGCTCGGTAATTTTTTATATTAACGTGTGTTTTATTTTTGAAGTACCTAGCATAATAAATAGCAATGTTAAATATTTTATGGATAATAGTCAATTATTAATAAGTATCATAAATAGCACGGGCGCGTTTTCATCGAAAGTATTCTTTTGTCTCGAGATTTATCGACAGCAGCAATTTCAAGTGCAGACTAGCGGACTTACGAGACTTTACTCTGTATAATGACTAAAAGTACAATACTACTATACAGTATACAGCATTCTTATTATGGATAAGTAAGACAGTCCGGTTCATTTTCCAGTGTTCAGTGTTGCAACCTTGTAACTCCGAAAAGTGTCCTGAGCTGATTCCTGAACCGACGATGCTAACGTGTGGTTCGTCCAACGACATTTTCCATGACAGATAAAATTATTTCGTTCCGTTCACAATCTTATCAACAGATTACGCGGTTACCACTGGTAACTTACCATCCGACTCCGACCTTGGCGCTCGTCTGTGAAATGTAAATACTAAATAGTGTAAATAGTCATTCGTAGTAATGTATGGCAGGCATGTACTGTGTACCGCGTACGAGTTTTGTTATTGTTTATTTGTTGTTTAACGCACGCGCACGCGCACCTCCTCGACTGTATTCCAACCTGTGGAATGTGGAAATCTGCGTTTTTTTTTAAATGGTCGTTTTTTTTCGCATGTACATAAATTTAATAATACTTTAATACAGCATTTTAAGTTTATGTCATTATTACTTACTTGAATTGTAGAAACAAAAGCAAGATACGAACGATACGGTTATCCAGTTACGTTGGATTTTTTATTTTTTTTTTTGATCGAATTTTAAGTTTAATTTAGATAAATACCTAGGTACTGATGTCTCTTGCAAGGCGCGAAAAGCAGTTGTTGTTTACAACTGCTGTAGTATTAGGAGCTTTAATTGGTGAGTCATAAAATGGTTCTATTTTTGTTTTTTATTCTTTCTCAAAAATAAAAGTAGTGTTTGCTGTTAAATAGTAGATAACTTGTGAAATAAAATTTCAGATAAAAATAACTTTAATACCTATTTAGGTACCTACCTACAGTTTACTAACGCATTATTTGTGCATGGGTTTTATTAACTTGTTACAAATACTGTACATCTACACAATGTTATATAGTCTTAACATTAAACTCTCTAGTATAGAACATGTTAAATGTATTTTGGGTTTAAATTTATTTACTTAATTTTTTAATTTGTTGTTTAAAATTAAAATATTGATAAATAGTGCTGTTTATTAGTAGAAAAATGCATTATTTTTAACATACTGTATGGATTCAATGTTGAAACTTTTATTTTTATTTATTAAGTCTTTTTATAGCCTTTTAAAATTGTTTTCATAACTTTTTTCTATATTTTCTTTGATACAACTTTATAATATATTTATTTTATGTATTATTTTTCCAACTATTTAAAAAAGTTCTGTACATACATCTGTATTTAATTATTAATATCTTACTCTTATATTTTATACTGAATTCTTTGAGTCTTGAGATTATAATGGATTAAAATTATATTTTTTTGTATTATTCCAGATTTTAAGGGCATTAAACTCATAGCCCCTTGATAATATTATACTGAAATAGAGATAATATAGTACTTGTTAATTTATTATAATTCTTAAAATATTAAATAGTATTTTTAATTTTAATAATAATATTAGGTAAGCATTTTTAAATTTTACAAATTTCATTACTCCCATAACTGAACAAAATTTTTAAAGATATCCCTTTGATAGTTGTTTGGCGAAGAAATCTGTTATGTATTAACCATTTTTCAGTAAATAGATACCTATATTAAGTTATTAAAGTTACAATTTATCTTTTTCAAATTAATAGTATTATAGTTTGTTATATTATTGATTTATTGACATTCAATCAATTTATATTCTTAATATCTTATATATTTCCATAAAATATACCATTGAACTTTTTGCATTAGCTTAAAGAAAACAGTTATTAATTGTTTTGCATGATCTAATAATGACTATTATAATGTAATGATTTTTTTAAATAATTTATATTGTTGTTTAACAAGCTTATCATTTTTAATTTGTTAATATATAAGTCATTAGTTAGGTACCTACTATGTGTTAGTGTTAGTAATTACATAAGTATACTTTAGATTTCTGAATAATTATTTCAATCATGTCTTATTTAGTTTCAATGTAACCTTGGCCACAATTTTTGTTTAAAACTATTATGTATTTGCCGAGGTATTTGCATATTGCGTATAGTATAATATTCCTTTTTTTAGTTATATATGTATCTGAAATCTGATACAGTGCTAGGGAATGAAAATTTATATTAAATATAGAATTTTATTATTTTTAGTGAACATAGTTTTATTGTTTATTTCAAGAAGTTTTTCAGTATATCATATAATTATTTAATCTTACCATATTTTTCATTGTTGACTTGTTATTCTAAAATAATGCTGAAATTAAAATAATATTTTATTTATAAATTTATTATCTGATTACTCAGAAGTAGGTACATAATGTAGTTTGCAGTTTTAATGATAAAATAAAATAAAATAAAATTGTAATTATTTTATCTAATTACACCATGTGTTCATTCTTTATTTTAAAGATATGATTTGTTTACAAAAATATATATTAATAAGACGTGTTGGTTTACCTGCCAGATATGAAACATGGCTTCTGAGCTCAATTGGGAAATTAAAATGTTAGGTATTTAGAGTACAATTAATAAACTGCATTTAAATTATTTTTAAATTTTATCAAAAGAAAAGTTTGATTTAATTTATTTTTTCTAAAATCTTGTACTTACTTATGTCAGTGGTCATTTTTAAATTTTTAAATGTACCTATTTTTATTATTTATAAACAATATTTTTACTTTTTTCTGCAGTATTTTGATGTTTCATAATCAAACAATAGAATTTATTTACCTATTTTAATTTACATAAAAATTTAAAAAGAATTGCTAATTTTTAGGGGCCGTATTTATATGTTTTGAAAAACTCAGAAATATGCATTTATGCTCTTATTTCATAGAAATATACAAAAACATTTATTTTATATATAAAATAAAAAATGTGCAAAAAAATCGATTAAAATAAAGTCTTTTATTTTCATTAAATATAAATAAACAAAATCAAATGAAAGTTACGTGTACTTAGATCACGACATACACGACTTATGTATGATTTGATTACTATGATTCAATGATTCACTAAAACCTACTCAATAAAAGATTAACACTTATCTCGATAGGTCTTAGATAAGATAAGAAAATGACTTTGCCAAATTACATGAACTATAAGTATAGTTATATGACACATAATTTTAATTAAAATAAACAATATATTACATAATATTATACTTTTAAAATTCATATATATGCAATATAAAATCATAAAATACAGAAATATGCAGTACAAGTCAAAAAATAACAAAATATGCAAAAATATTCAAATTAGAACTTTATATTTCAGATCTATTGACTATAAATTAAACTTGAAGCTTACCTAGCTGTTTTTTGGACTGTTCAGAAAAAACATGAAAATGTATATAAATCTGGGCTTTACAGTAATTTTATTTATTTTTATTATTTTTAATAAAGAATGAGAAGCATATAATATGATTTTATAATAATATATTTACCTTGAGCAATGTAAAAAAATAATCGCCATAATTATTGGAAATTCTAGCATTCATTATGAAGGACAGAAATAAAATACTTAAATAATGGCATTAATCTGATTAATTGTATATGAATTAGGAGGTGTTAATAAAAAAATTGCATTCTCATCTAATTGCACGTTAAAATATGCTGCAAAGGTTTAAATATTAAATATAATTTTGTTCACAGGCCATTTGAGCACTGGCCGTTCGAGCTCTGGCAGGGGGTCAAATTTGTCAATAGGGCCCAGATATAGTCAAACTTTCTTGTTTGGATCAATGTGGTTGGGAAGGGTTGGGTCTCAAACAAAGGAAAATGTACAGGGTCGGCGTAATCAAGACTCGAGTGGTAACCAATAATAATTACTCTCATACTCATACATTGTTACCAATATTTATTTAGTAAAAAATGATGTTTTAAAACAGTTAAAACGAAACATTAGTCTTAAATTTTAATTTGATATTGCCATGAATACTTTACAAAATATATCAAAAACATTATAAATGATTTGACTGTCAATAAAATATATTATGTTACTTATGTTGTTATATTAATTTGTGATTGATTGAGTATACTTAATATTATACTTATAATATTTATTTTAATTCACTAGTAATAATTGATGAGTGTAGTATTACATATTAGTTAATATCAAACAATTAGTAATTATTAGGAACATTTATTTTTATTTTTATTGAGTTAATACTTTATGATGATGGTGTTTTTACAATATTAATTAAAAAATATTTTCTATTTTAATATTACAGTTGTATTTGTCAATGATGTCGAAAGTCGAAGTCAATATAAAGACAAACTTGATGAGTCAGAAAAATCTCAAACACCACCAGTACATAAAGGTATGTAGCATAATTGCATAATTTTGGTATGACTGTGGGTTGTAAAATCATCAAAAACTTATTATGATTATAAGGAATATATTATTAATCTGCAGTCATGTCATGTACTTACATATTGTTTGTAATGTTAGATTAGGTATTGGTTCATTATTTATATTTTTTTTTTTACATCAAATAGATGTAAAATTGGTGCGCAAGAACTCTTTTCTCCATTCAGCATGGGTTATCATTGCAATAGTGTTAACTATTGTATTGGGTGCCGTAGCCGTCTACTATTGGATACTGTTTTATCCGATTATGTGCAAGAAAGAGCGCAAGTATGATGTTATGCAAATGTCTGCCAAACCATAACGACCAAGCATCCAATTCATCAACAATTAAGAAATAAACATTACATTTCCAGGTGGTGGCAACTTACTGACTCTAATCTGAAAATATTTATCAGGATAATATGAATGTAAAACAATTATTTGTAATCCTTCAAGTAGGTTTCCTATTTTATTATTATTATTATTTTTTTTAAGCATTTTAAAATTGTTTAAATTTATGACTGACTAAATTGATAAGATCTTAAAATTGCGACTGCCTTTCAACAGTTCCTTAAATTAATCCAATGGGCTAAATATATCTAGATATCTTATACATTACTATTGACAAAACAATATTTTTGAAATTTTTGTTTATTTCTAGGACATTAATTATTGATTATTACATTTTTTTGTGTGCCCCATAATTAATGTAAAAACATTAAATTTAATGATACCTAAATATTTACTTAATATTTATCTAATTATTTTGTATTACATGGTGCAAAACATTTTCAACAATTTATTTATTTTTTATATTTTTTAAACATTATTATTGATGTTTTTAAAACTATATTGTATTTTAATATATAAGAGGTTTATAAAAATAAGAACTAAATAAAAAAAAAAAATCTTTTTATTTAATATTTGTGTATTTTGTAATTTTTATTCTTTAATATTATATTTCAATGTAATCATTTTGACTACATCTAAATTTTTAATGTAGCAGTCGTGAGATTCTTTTTAAGAATTGACAGTTTTTTTTTTTTTTTACTAGTTTAAATATCAGTTAATTTATTTCTTATTATCATTGTATCATTGATTGGTTTGAATTAAGTGTTCAGAAAGTAAGAATCTTAAAATTGATTAAGAAAAATCATTGTTTGTCTTAAGATTTAATATTTATAATCTAATTTAGTGTTTATACAAATAAATTATTATTAAATCACTAGTTACTATCTATTATGTTATAAATTTTTTTTTTTTTAATTTTAGAACACACTTTTAGTATTATTTAGTGTTTTATTATTTTTTAAATGTAGTAAAAGAAATTAATTAGAGTTAAACTTTAAAAGAATTATAAGCATAATGATAACATTAAAAAAAAAAAAAATTTAAAATAATAGTAGCTGTATGTACTGTATTTGGTTTGAAATAATATTTCTTATAAATCAAAATAGAGGAAATATATAATTTTTAGTTTATTAACTATACAAAAAAAGCAAAAAAAGGATTGACCACAGTTGAATAACTAAGTTAAAAGATTATTATCAAGTGATTACACAAATTACACATTTGACTATAGAACAAAATTTCATGTTGCTAAAATGGTTAAGAGAAAATCTAGGAAGAACTGTCTTTCATCCACCATAAATTTGTATACTTTATTAAGAATAATATCTCTTTATACATTTTAACAATGTTTTATAAATATAAATATAATCTCTAAGCAAAGGTCAACATGGTCTAAATAGTTCAAAAATCAAGAATTTTTTTGATATTAGGGTTATGTTAGCTCACTATTGACTATTTTTATATAATTCTTGATTCATTAATAAATGTAAATTTATAAAATATTTAGTGATTAAATATACAACCTGGTATTAAAAGCAAGTAGATAAATTAACAATTTTATATCATATATATTCACAAAAAAAATTAAATGTCATACCTTTACTGTTTTCAGCAACCAAATTGTGCACAATGGTATGACTTAACTACACAGCAAGTGTAAAGATGGTTGGTGACTATGGCTATTGTCTGATTTCCACAGAGATTTATTCTTAATGTGAATAGCGTGCATAGGTGATTATCATTATAGATTTATTTCAAAGCTTTTTTATTTATTATAAATTTAATTTTCTATTTAGATTTTGACAATAATAAATTAAAAAAAGATTTATGTATTATTTAACATAGAATTATAATATTTCTAATGCCTTATAAATGCTTTAATTTATTTTTCTGAAGAAATAGATTTTTAAAATTACAAAATTATAAATCCATATTATTATACATTTCTAATAGCTTCATTAAATTTTTTTTCAAAAAAGTATCAACTTGGCAAATACATTTAATACAATATACTGACAAATTTATTGCAAATTTTCGATCTACAATCTAATACATTTCATTCTAAATAATGTATTGTAAGTGTGCGTCATGAATAATTCAATTAACAATCATTATTATTTTCAAGGATTATAGAATACAATAAGTTATCATTTAGAAATTATTACTAATATTAATTATAATACCATCGAAAAATTTCATCAATTCGATTACAATGGATGTTTAAAAAATAATAATAATAATAATAAAATAAAAAAAAAACATTCTTCAAAAATTGAACTCTGATATCTTAAAAAAGAATATTACACATTAATAGGTAGAAATCTAGGTATTATTTAGATTATTTTTAACAACTAGTTAATTAATAAGTGTATTTTTTTTTAAAATTAATACATTTTCTGATCATAAATTATATGTTAGTTTATTCATTATTGAAGTTTAAATTAGAAGGTTGACTGTTAGTATTACAATTAGACATTTTATTAGCAAAACTTGTTCAGTCTTAAAAAAATACAAAATACAAAAAAAAATTGGAGACTGGAGATGGGTTTATAATTCTTCTTTAGGAAGTTCGTCTAAGTCGATATCAGATAAATCAATGTCATCGGCAGTTGGTAATTCACCATCTTTACCGTCCCAGGGTTCAGTTGCTTGAATTTCTGGTAATGCAGCACCTTTAACTGGGGCAGTTGTGCCACGGCCATAAGATAAATCTCTATTAAAGCATAGATATGTTTTTAATTAGTATAGAATTGAAATCAATTTATTAGAAAAAAAATAATAGATAAGTATTGCACAGGTACCTTAAAAATTCCTTAATTCCATCTTCCGAAAATGACCCTCTTAAAATTGAGTATTTCATTTTTTTAACATTTAACACAGCCAAAGCGGGATATCCAAAACCACCGATTTCTAGTGTTGATTCCAATTCTGGTTGCTTGCCTGCTTCGGCCCACAGCCATCTAAACAATAATTCTTAGTAGGATCTCATACATATATAAACTATTAATTTTTGTAAGGAAAAAAAATATAGTGAGAATATGAACAAAAAGGAAGATTCAGGTAAAATTGAAGATAAATGATACAAAAGTGGGAGATGTATTCAGAAAAAAAAAATTGTATAAATTAAAATATAAATTACCCCCAAAGTTTTTGTTTGAATTTATCTCCCAATGAGCGTAATGTATTCAGGTACTCATTACGACAGCTGGCCTGGCAATCTAAAATGTGGGGTAGTACAGAGACCACACACAGAGCATGTTCTGAACACCCAGATTTGAATGTATCTTCATTTACGATCTATTTAATGCACAATTTAATTAAGTAATCATTGTTGAATGATTAATTTTATTTTCTAAAAACCTACCTCAATAATGTCTGGTGGTGGTACATTCTCTTGATGTTTTTGCATTGCCCAGCTTACAATGTCTGAAGATGTTCTTCCACCAGTATATTCTTCAGCTCCACTTGAACTGGATGTTCCAGATGGGAAGAATTTAATTGTAGGATATCCACGAATGTTGAATTCTTGAGCTTTTGAAGAGTGCACAGTAGCGTCTAATGCTCCAAGTTTAACCTTAAAATTATGAATAAATATTTAAACACAATTTTAAATATTGCATGGACAAAATGTTTGCTTTACTTTTCCTTTAAGTTCTGAAGCAGCAGCTGCCCAATGAGGAGCCAAGTTTTTACAATGTCCACACCACGGGGCAAAAAATTCGACCAACCAAATATCATCAGAATTCAATACAAGTTTATCGAAATTGGAATCAGTAAGTTCAACAACGTCATCACCAGATGATGATTTTTTAGATGATTTAGATGATCCATAAGGTACACCTTGAAGGTTGGCACTAATGGCGTTCTTTATGGCTTTGATAACCTCATCGGTAATACCAACGGCTGTTCGATCTCCAGTGAAGTCTTGAGGTTTGTTTTTGTCAACAAATATTTTGACAGTAGGGAAACCTTGTACACCATAACGGCCTGCAAAAGATGGATACTTATCGGCATCTATAGCAGCCACTTTGACAATACCCTGAAAAACAAACGGAGCATTTACATAGCAGTCCAGCCAGCAACTATGGAGAGTAAAACATTCGACAGTACTATACCTTCAGGGCTTTGGCAGCTTTCGTGTATTCGGGCACAAGTCTTTGGCAGTGTCCGCACCACGGGGCGTAGAACTCGACCACCCATATTTCGACGCTCTGGAGCACCTGATTGAAATTGTCATCGGTGAGTTCAATGACATCTGAGTTGGCCGGATATATGGCCGCCGCGGAACTGGCGAGAGCCACCAACAATGCACCTGAAAAAACCACAGCAAATAACAAAACAAACTATACGACGTGAACGCAAAACAGCGAACCAACATCCGGGATGCTACTTACAGTATAACAGATTCATATTTCTACAAAAGAAAATCGAAAATCGGCAAAAGTTGGGAACAAAGGAATAATATTTCACACACGCGCAGCGGGAGTCGGGGAACGATTGTGCCGGAGTAACGTTCGATCAGACGACGTTCATATGGCGACCGCGAGAGTGTGGGCGACAAGAGACTGCGTCCGCCGCCAAGCGTTTGTTCGGTTGCGTCCTTTTTTGAAGTGCGCGTGCCCAATTAGGTAAGCAATTCGTGTACCTATTACCTAACTACTTTTTGAGCGGAAGTAACGGAATAACGACGGCCGCGACGACCAAAATCTCTCGGTTAGTCGGCTCACTCGGCTCTCGTGTTATCGACACGGACGTGTTATCATCGGCAGCCGCTCGTGGTCCGTTCTCATTGGTGGACGCGCGCGCGCTGCCACCGACTACCACCACCAGCAAAACCAAAGCGCGTCGATGAGATTGTAAAAAACTTATTATGTACCATAACGATTTTGTCATAGTTTATTCAGTCTAACAACAAACAACAGTAACAATTCGGTTCATCGACTGATAAAACTGCGTTTATGCGTGTTGGCCCGGTCTGTGCGAAAAGATAACAACATCCGGACGGGGTCGTATTCCCCGATTCCCGGCTATAGTGGATAGCGTGCGGCAAACAAAGATTAAAAACATAACAACTAAATAATATACCGCATGCGAGATTTAATTCTAGTGCTGTAACAACAATAAATGATATGACATGTATCGTGGGATTTTACTTTATTTACATTATATTATATCGTATCATATCGAAGTCTTGATGGCAGATAGTTGTACCTACCTTCAAACATATTATTGTATTAAAAAAAATACGTTCCTATATATTATGAACGAGAAACAATGGAAAAATGAAATTTCATAAGACATAAAATGGATTAATGAAAAAACTATCAAATATTAAGGATTGAACTCGTTGACAATTTGCCATATACTTTTTTACCAATAATTTAATTACCTAATAAAAAGGTGGACAAGTGGGTACCTACCGTTCTTCAGTCTTCTTTATACTTACCTATAGGCGGCTATAGGATATAGTAGTCCAGTGAATCACTGTTATAGAAGTGTTTGTCTTAAATTTGAATTCAATGATATGAAATTGTTTACGAAAAATAATTCTAGGCCAATGGCGTGCATTACTAAGTATCTGTATTTCATGAAAAGTTTTTTAATAATACTATTAAAGTAATTTATTTTATTATTAGTATTATGATAGGTTAATATCATACGATTTCTAAAATTAGGTTTGAATGTTTACGGGAAATGGCCTATTTCATTTTTGTAAAAATAAAATTTGGAAAAGTTAAATTTTTATATCGAATAAATTAATATTTAATATTGAAGTACACATTCTGAAAATACTTGTTAGGGGTTGTTTATATGTAATTTTAATTTTATTTAATTTTACAGAATATAAAGAGTGTTTAAAATGTCATATTTTACAACAATTAAGTCTGCATGTTTCTGGAAATTGCGTGCATTACATTCGTAAAAAAATTTCAAATATCTTAATGTTTACTGGGAAAGTGCTGAGAAAATATATTTTTGTAGGTTATGTAATTTTAATAATTTTGAAAGGAAAGAGTTTCGTGCCTATATTATTATTATTATTATTATTTTTATAAAATATTTAATATTTATACAATGTTTAGGTAATTCACTGTATTATTATACTATTTACATATTTAGATACCATTAATTATAAACTATAACCATCATCTACATATTTATTTACATTATAATTATAATCGGTGTAATCAGATTATTTATTAGTACAATATAATGATGTGTTCTACCTTAAACCCCTTTATTTTGTTGGCTGACATTTTAAAAAGTGAAAAGGGAAAATGTACAATAGACAATAATAGTGTGTAACAGTAGAGTAATCAATACAAAAATTTGGGTATACAATTAAGTTATTTATTCTGAAAAATACATGATGTACTTCGTTCAGTTACGTATTATATAATTGCACATACGTTTCAGTGTGTTTGTTTGTAGTAAAAATATATAAGAGGCACGTAATTATCATTATAGGTCCATAATTGAAAACTTGCATAAAAATTTTGGACACGATTTAAATGTACCATCAATATAAATAGTTGTACTTTGCATAATACCTCTAAATTTGATTGTTGAAAACCAACTATGCCATTTGGTTTTCATTCACTAAAAAATTTTCAATTTATTGGTTTTATTTCGTACATAAAAACATTGAAGTTCGAAGGCTTTTGGTAGTTTTGGTGAACAGATATGCGTGCATAACGAATATTTCTTTGATTAGTGCCACATCGCTAGTGGTTTGTTTCTACGTCATTTTTAATTCTACTTGTAAAGTTTAGATGGTTTTGACGAAATATCATCTAGCTTTTCTTTAAGAATTACTAATATTTTGTCGATTTAATAATTTTGTTCTGGTTTGGGTGATTATGCTCTGTATTGTTCTATTATATTAAAATTATTTTCACATTTAAAAACATTTACAAGATTTTAAACAACAACGTTGCGTCATTTCTTAATATTTTGGAATCGAAATTAAAACCTTCAATTATAACTATTTTTGTTTTTCCTAATTGAAACTCCATTTAAAATTAATAATAAATAAATAAATTACACTATATACTGAGTACTGATTGATGACTGCGGACTGACGGACGACTGCTTGTCAACTGTATACGTTGGGAAATTTGAAATCATTCACAAATATTATATAGTAATTATATGTTATCGCAATTATTATCGCGAACGATCGAATATAAATATAAAATTTACTCAGTCGGTTCTAAACGCGCTATTGTATTGATCTAAACGGTCATGTGAGATAAAATATTATTTAATTCTTGGATATTCCGATAAATGATATAATAAAAATTAAATAAAAAGGTTCTGCTGTTCTGCAGTTATATCGCTTAGAACGAAATATTTCCTGTGTAACCTTTCCAAAAGTATTGGGGACGCAATTCACCTATTCAGAAAAATATCGGGGACGCAATTCACCTATCTGTGTATTAACATTTTTGGGACGCAATTCAACCCCGAGATAGAGCATGCAATTTGGATGTTGTCATATCTTCAGTATTTAACAAACTATATAGATGCCATAGTCAGATATAGTCGTTATGCATTTTGTAGATGACTACATGTACTGGTATCTATATAATTTATATATTATATATTATATATATATATAATTTTATGACGTTACACAACATTATAAAATTTTCGGTTAAAAGCTTAAAGAATAATTAAATTAAGAAATTAACACTAGTCACTACTATAATAATTTAGGGTTGCTAAGTAGAGTTTGAACCACGACAACAACATTTTCCGCAGAAATGGTGAAATAATTTTTATTTCATATAGATTTC